GCAATATTAAACACTATTCCGAACAATAATAATCATACACAATGAAAACTTTTCAGCATCTCGTATTCGGATGAAAAATATCCAGTTACCAGAGCAAAGAAAGACTGATAATCGCTTCTTTCTGAACGCAAAAGTCAGGTTTCAGGCGCTTGATGGAAATGGCTTCAGGAAACTTAAGAAGAATTCAGCTCTTTTGTCTATTGATAATTTTGAACGACTTTTCGACGTCCACCTCATGATCCGTGTCAAGGAGATGTCTGGCGATGGCACTGTTTAAAGCATTTTTTCTCTTTAGACGTAAGCTTTTGGTACATGTTCAGAAAGTCGTAGATATGCCCTTCTTTCTGTTCATCCAATGTAGTGCAGTTTATAGTACAGTTAATAATTATAAAAGAATTTGCACTCGCCACTTCAGTTATAGTTAGTTTCAAAGTATTTTATGTATTTGCAAGGATGTTTTGAATCCAGCTGAATGTTGATTTCGACTCTTTTTTCCACCTTACAGTTTGGTGTAGACACCATCATTGTCTTACTGTACGGATTCGGCTTTAGCGTTTCCCGCTTCTCCATTTTTTAAGTTCCTTTATGTTCCAAATGAAACATAAGACTTCACACTTATTTTCAAGTTTTAATAGTATTGGAGGGTTCACCTATTTGACGCTCAGCCTTCTTTCTTTTTCAGGCTCACCATTGATTAGTGAACTAAACGAGATTAAAGCGTTCTTTGGCTATGAGGAATTGAACTAAGACAGCACGTATAGCTGGCGAGCGTACTACCAATAAGTCAACAACACGCTTCGGATTATCTACCTTGATACCGGTCAGGATTAAGTAATGCAATTGAATTCCTTCACAAAGTATGCATTAGAAATATCCCAATTTAGAATAAGTTTTACCACAGATTGATAAATTCCCAAATATGTACACCAGTATAGTGTATACTATGTGAACTGAAACACAGTTTACGCAAAACAACAGCGATACAAAAGCGTTTTAATGTTATAAAAAGTGTTTTTATTCTTTCTTTGTTAAACCCAAAGCATATTTCCCCCACTAAAAAAAAAGACTGAACATAATCCCCCTAGTGAATTAAATAATGGACAAATGAATCCAGTTAATCAATAAAAAAACTGTGATATTAACAGTTGGATGTGTGTGTATGTGCATGATTGACACAAATATTCACTTGATCATTGAATGAAGATACAATTCTTATTTGTTTAAGTTAACTTGCATCTTCAAGTGTTGTTAGTTTACTGACATTTGATTGGTTACAAAATGTCGTTATGAGCTGACGTTAGTTAAAAAGTCAATGGAAAACCACTAAGGTCGTGGATGCATTGATCATGTGTTCACCCTTCGTCAGTTGTTGGAACACCGCCACACGTATTGCAGGCCAATGATCGTTGTGTTTCTTGATATTAGGGCTGCCTTCGATTCGTTGGACGGAACTGTGCTCTGGAACTGTCTGTTAGAGAGAGGTGTACCTGAGAAATTTGTTAACATCTTGAAAGCCCTATACAGAAACACCTCAGGTAGAGTGAGGGCATACGACCAACTATCACCACTGTTCCCAACCAACAGTGGGATTAGACAGGGTTGCCCAATCTCGCCATTTCTCTTTAACTTTGCCATCGACGACATTCTGGAGTCAGCTCTGAAGGATGTGCGTGAAGGTGGTGTAGATCTGCTACCTGGAGATAGACTTTTCGACCTCGAGTATGCAGACGATATCGTCTTACTGTGCGATAGCATGCAGGCTGCCCAAATCGCACTTAATCAGTTGGCGATCAGTGTCTGTAAGTATGGTATGTGCTTTGCACCGTCTAAGTGCAAAGTACTGTTACAAGATTGGCAGGAGCCTGTACCTGCACTCAATCTTGCGGGTGAACGGCTTGAAGTTGTCGATAAGTTTGTGTACCTAGGTAGTTGTGTGAGTGCTGGCGGAGGGGTGACGGATGAGATTTCCAACCGTATAATGAAAGCTAGGGTGGCATACATCAACTTGAGCCACCTCTGGCGCCGTCGCGACGTTAGCCTGGCTGTGAAAGGTCGGGTATACAATGCTTCGGTGCGGGCTGCGCTGTTCTACGCCTGTGAAACCTGGCCTCTCCGAGCTGAGGATGTGAGGCGACTCTGCGTGTTCGATCACCGCTGTCTCCGCAGGATTGCTTGCGTTCGGTGGCATCATCGCGTGAGTAATTCTGAGGTTCGGCGGCGTGTGTTTGAACACAGTGGAGATCACCATTCATTGAATGTCGTCATCTGGAAACACCGGCTCTGGTGGCTTGGACATGTGCTGCGAATGTCATCCCAGAGGCTTCCGTACAGGTCTCTGTTCGCTAGCCCTGGGACGGGATGGAAAAGGCGGAGAGGTGGTCAGCCCATGACGTGGCTCCGTGGGATGAAGGATTTCTGTGCTAGATTAGCATCGGTTGGTGTGTCACGACTCCCTGGTTGGGGTCTGAGAGATAGCTCAAATCGATGGCTCGAAACGTTATCGGATATGGCCAAGAATCGTAATCAATGGCGAATGTGTTGCGATTTCCTTCTTTCCTCCATTCCCGATGATAGTTAACGAACACTGTTTGAACCTGTTAAGAATGAGTGTTTTCCTTCCAGATGAAGTTCTTTATTCTTTCTCTACTTATATATATATTTTTTCTTTTCCTGCCTTCCTTTTTTTTCATCTATGTTGTTTTAGTATTATTGTGTGGCGCATCCTTCTTGGTGCCATATTGTACCAAGTTCTAATGCGTTTAAATAAATAAAATAAATAAAAGGAGTACTGGACAGCTGCTTCCGCCTAGTTTAAGACTCTTCAGCAGCAGGCACCCATCTCAGGATTCTAGCACAGGAACTCCTGGTTACAAGGCCAACTCGTAGACCACACTATGAACGAACCCGAAGGTCCAACTTCTGCCTATTCGTGATATGTCTGTCTGTCTGTTTTCAGCATAGAACTTTGCACCGATGTGCAGCAGTTCAAGTTGCCACACTCCCTCCGTGTAGCACACAAAGCAAGAGAAGAAAGTAAAAAGAAATGCAAAATAGAGACAGTAAACAGGGATATGAGGCAAAAAAGGACAGTAATATCGAAGAACAATATAGTTAAATTGGAAATTATAAGTCACAAGGAGTGGATGCATCTGTGCCAGCCAGTGAGGACGATTTTGAGTCATATCACCGAATGTCTCCGGCCTACATTGGTTTTTACCATCCCGAGGACCCTAACCAGGAAGTCTACACCTCCCTGAGCGGTTTAAACTAACTATTGTGGATTTTATTGACTGATGAGGCCATGCTTTGGCTTGACCACCACTGGCTTTTTTTCAACCTGATCCAAAGTCAGCTGACATTACCCGTCGAGGAAGGCGACTGCTAGAGATGCATATGTAACACAGGTCCTAACCATCTCAGTCGTTGTAACTTCACAACCTCGTCGATTGATTTCCCCTCCTTACCTAGCACTCGACCGACGCCTAACGTCAATACTGCTCACTCTATTATACCACTTAGCACACACGAGAGATAGAACGCAGACACCTATGATCAGTGATCGTGATATTTATTTAGCGCAAGCGCCAGGCAGTATCATGGACCTGACTTGGTGGTACCATCTGGTTGTGACTTCTAGCTAGAACCCCGGGAGATTTCCTGTATGAATCCAGACACTAGTGAGTATCAGATTAATTACAAAGTGTTGGTTTGAAGGGATTCAATGGATTACATAATTGATCACGAGGTGACACCAGTTAGAGGATCATGGGGACGCTAGGGACGGTATGAATTCCGCGTTAACTGGTTTTTATAGGGCAAACATTTCACGTATCTATTGCCAAAAATATGCTCCACTGCAAACCTGAAAAGTGCATAAGTGATTATGTCACATGCCACACTATTTACCAAATTTTGTGTGTGTGTGTGGACGCACATACATAGGGAGGAGTAATCTTGCTTTGTATGTGAGGGTGGGACAGCAAGCATATCCCGAAATGGTTAGAAAAACAAATGAATTATGGAAAATTAATAGACAACTTCATCTATAGATAAACATTTAATCGAGATGAACCATAAGACTGATGTTAACTCAGCCTTTAAGGTCATCTATAAAAATGGTCGAGGGCGCTTATTGAAATGCGTTGAGGCTATAGTTATTCATAAACTTAAGCCTTCCTTCACCCCACCCCAACACTGTGTATTCAAAAGCAGTTTATTATTACTCTTAACCTACCTTGGTAATCCTTATTTGATTGAATTACCAAACGCTGTGTTAATCATTTTTAAATCCTTCTTCTTGTCACTTTGTTTAATTTAATTGCCCTTTATTTCTTTTTAATATACAAGGCGAATTGACAAGTCAATGTGTTAGGTATCAGATTGTTTGAAATGTACAGCGCAAATACACCACACCCCTTTTTTCAGATAATCTCCGTCTTCTAATCACAACACTATCCAAATTCATATGAGGGACTAATTGTTTTAAACACTTGTATATGATTCCATGGAGGATTTCATCATGTACTGACATCAGTTAGAGAACCATTGGAAAACCATCTGGGAGTACTGCAAGAAAGCTGTTTCGTCCTAGTTTGTGACCCCTCACAGTTCACACCCACCGGGTTTCGAATGCAGGACCTTCAGTTTACAAGGCGAGCTCGTAGACCATTAAGCCACTGGGACTCGATCCAATGGCCAGTCCATGAATTGTAACTTCTTCCGATTCACGACATCGCGCCACCATTTCGCAATGTCTTCTTCGATGAGATACTGCCTCATATCCAACCTGTTGTACCCACTGTCACGGCTTCCCACTAGAACCCCAGGTCACTGCCTAGATAGGGCAGGATGATACTGAAGATATTGTTTTTGTGTTATCCCTAAGGAGGCATACTTTCAATACAGTGTTATTAAAAGATGTGGTGCAGCAATGAGTACTATGAAATATCAAGTGACTGTTGTGAAAACTGTGATACATATATGTGTAAAGTTTCACTTACCAACATTGTTTAAAGTTGACCGGAGTTATATAATGCACAGGTACTGATTTATTATTACCATTATTACTATTAGTATTACTATTATTATTATTATTGTACGCACAGCCTAAATTGATCTCCCAGCCAACAGAATGATTCTTTACATTATTACAAGTTGAAGATGTTGAATTCATTTGATTCACTGCCGCTGTCGCTGCCGCTGCCGCTGCTGCTGTTGACGATGGCGATGAAACTGATGGAGAATTTTTAGATTCGTCGAATTCTCCTTGAGGATTGCTTCTACTGCTCCTCTTCTTTGGTTGATTCAATTGATATACAAGAAAAGGCTGACAATAGAGAAGAGAAACAAGTGTAGACAAAGGAATTAGATTCGTAACTATTCAACTTGGGTTATTATAAGTTTCTTTTTATTAAGCAGAGTTATATATTAAATTAATACTCCTCATTGAGATATGACACAAAGAATTTAGCGAGGAAAATTCTCTTTGCGACAATCTGATTTACTTTATACGAGTTTGACCACGAAGTGTTATCAGTTAGAGAACCATTGAAAATCCCCAGGGAGTACTGAGCCTAGTTTCGGAATCATCGGCAGTACGCATCCACCACAAGGGTTTCGAACTCAGGACCTTCCAGTTACAATGCCAACAAGCTCGTATACCATTCAGCCAATGGGACCTGATCTAATGGCCATACCATGAATTCTAACTTCTACCAATTCATGATTTTTAGCGCGACCACCAACCAATTTCATCCGTGGGATATCCATCCTCACACTTGGCTGGATGAACCTCATTGACCATGACTTGTCACTAGAACTCCAGGAAACTCTGCCCTGTATCAAGTCACTAGCAAGCATCTAATCCTTAGGAACCAAACTCTAGAAAATTTCATTTATATAGCTATCCAATCGTATATATATGAATTAAAACGCACAATAACAATCAGTTTTCTTGTGTGTGTATTTGAGTTTAACAGTGAGTGGAAACACTAAAGTGTTATAATAATATTTGTGTATATGAATTGATTATATATATATATATATATATATATATGAAATGACAATTAGTCTGATGCTTACTAGCGACTGGCTCTATACAAGAAGTCACCTGGGATTCTAATCAGAAGTCGTAACCAGTGGGGTACGGCAAGTCAGGCAAGAGAACAATTCTCATATCATGAATTAAAAGTCAATCTGAACGAAGATCAACTAGACCGGAACTTTGTATCCAAAAGGAACACGTCCAGACGCTGTTCCCTACCATGGTCAAACTTGAATTGATGATTCTTCTTCTCCTCACCAAGAGTGTTTCTTCCCGTTAACCCTTTTGGTTGTTTTTTTTCTTTGCTTATTGTTACAATTATTACAATTATTATTCGTCATAATTTATGCCCCTCATGCAAACATTCTATCCATACTATCGAATTTTCCATTTATACTATCCGGACTTATTGTTAGTGATATTATCTCTTTTTCTCAATATGTGCCTTCCTCCATCTGTTTCACTTCACACATTCGTTATTTCATTATGAACCCCTCTCATTGCAGTTCCACTATCTCCTGTTTAACACAGATCACTTTGTACTAGCCACTCACTCACCTGACACCTTTTGTAACCTTGAACTGACTAACTTGTCAGTTTTCCTACCCCACACTCTACAAATCTATTATGACTAATCATCACCATTGTCTACCATTTTACCGAAATATTTTGTATTCGATTTCATCCTAGCACGACGTTTGTCACACAAATACGACTATTTATTTTGACACTCCATAACTATTATTCTGTTATTCTACGCGAAAAAGACGTATCCGCCGCATAACTAACTGGTTATCATTATTGTAACGACAACAATAAATATTATATTTTATAATTGTTTAAGAACCTGAAGACGAGAAATTATTGAAAAGAATATTCTTCGCTTAGATTGACTTTTAATTTATGTGATATGGGAATATTTCACACTATTAAGCAGAACAATTACTCGCCCAAGACACAGGCTGGTGGTTGCACAAAATAAATAGATATCCCGGATTGGAAGAAGTTGGAATTCATGGCCTATTCGGTCGGTTCTCAGTGGTCTACAGGCTCGCCATGTAACCTGAAGGTCTTGGCTTCAAACTCCGGTGGTACGTACTGACGAGGAGTCACAAACCAGGACGAAGCAGCTGGATGTCCAGTACTCCTCAATGGTTTTCCAATGGTTCTCTAACTGATGTCAGCTAGTGGTGAGTCCTGTAACCAATCAAACCCACGCAAACCAATGTTCACCTAAAGTTCAGTA